CAAAATCCCAGCATGCTATTTTGTGAGTACTGACAAACAGATCCCAAAGTTTATACGGAAAGGCAAAAGACCCAGAATAGCCAATACAATACTGAAGAAGAACAGAGTTGGAGGACTGACATTACCCGACTTTAATACTTACTATAAAGTTACAGTAATCAAGACAGTGTGATATTGGCCAAAGAATAGACAAATAGATCAGTGGGACAGAATAGAGTCTAGAAACAGATCCAGGCAAATATAGTCAACTGATCTTCAACAAAGGAGTAAAAGCAATTTAATGGAGAAAGGATAGTCTTTTCCGCAAACAGTGCTGGAACAACTGAAATCCTCATGCAAAAAAATAAATCTAGACACAGAGCTTACATTCACAAAAGTTAACTCAAAATGAATCACAGACCTAAATGTAAGATTCAAAACTATACAATTTCAAGAAGATAACATAGGAGAAAATCTAGGTGATCTTGGGCTTGGTAATGACTTTTTAGATACAACACCAAAAGCATGATCCACAAAAGAAAAAAATTGATAAGCTGGACTTCATTAAAATTAAATACTTCTGCTCTGCTGAAAGACACTGCTAAGAGAATGAAAATACAAGCCACAGACTGGGAGAAAGTATTTGTAAAACACATATCTGACAAAGGACTTGTATCAAAAATATACAAAGAACTCTTAAAACTCAACAATAAGAAAACAAACAACCCAGCTACAAAATGGGCAAAAGATCTGAACAGATACCTCACCAAAGAAGACATACAGACGGCAAATAGGCATATGGAAAGATGCTCAACATCATATGTCATCAGATAATTACACATTAAAACAATGAGATACCACTACACACCTATTAGAACTGCTAAAAGCTGAAACACTGATAAAACCAAACGCTGGTGAGGATGTGGAACAACAGGAATTCTCATTCATTGCTGGCAGGAATGCAAAATGGCACAGACGATTTGACATACAGTCTTGAAGTTTCTTACAAAGCTAAACATAGGCTTAGCATATGATCCAGCTGTCACACTCCTAGATATTGACCCAAATGAGTTAAAATATCTGATCACATAAAAACCTGCACATGAATATTTATGAGCTTTACTCATAATTGCCAAAAATTGGGAACAACTAAGATTCCCTTCAATAGATGAATGGGTAAACAATTTGTGGTACATCCATATAATGGAGTATTACTCGACAAAAAAAAAAAAAACTATCAAGGTACAAAGAAGCATGGAGAAACCTTAAATGCATACTGCTAAGTGAAGGAAGCCAGTCTGAAAAGCTGCTTACTGTAAGACTCCAACTATATGACATTCTGGAAAAGGCAAAACTACAGGGACATAAAAAGATTATTGGTTGCCAGGAGTTCAGGTGGAAGGAGGGAGGAAGGAATAGGTGGCGCACAGGGCATTTTTGGGGCAGTGAAACTATTCTGTGTGACACTGTAATGGTGGACACGTGACATTATGCATTTGTCAAAACCCATAGGACTGTACAACACAAAGAGTGAACCCTAATGTAAGCTATGACTTTAGTTACTAATGATGTGATAATATCGGTTCATTAATTGCAACAAATGTACCACAGGAATGCAAGATGTTAATAATAGGAGGAACAGTGTGCAGAGGGTATGCGAGAACTCTCCGTACCTTCTGCCCAATTTTTCTGTAAACTTAAACTACTCCAAAAATAAAAGTCTATTTAAAAAAGTTAACAAAACCCAAACCAAATTCTACTTGTGCAATATTCCAAGCAACCCAGATAAACCTCAAAGGAACTCTGGAATTCTGAAGAATGCATTTTTTGGGGAAAATAGTCCATATCTTTAAAAGAAAAAAAAAAAAGGATTTGTACCTGGATTCTGAATATTCTCTATTCTCGTACCATGCTATCACTTAACATAGATATAATACTGTGAGTTTATTTTTCTGAGTTGATGCTAAAATTTTTATCACAACACAAAAAACCAGTTGAAACATTCAGCTCAGCAATTTTGAAGCCGTATGATAGGCCTAGTGCAATCTGTAAGCTCCTAGAGGGAATAGCTGTATTGTTTGAACAATACTGGAAATTTTTCCTAAATTTCATAAATAAAGCTTCTATTAACCTCTCTTTCCCAAAATCACCTGCCATATTATCAGATGATTATGATAGGCTTAAAAGAAATTAAAAAATCAGAATTGATTACAAAATATCTTAGACCAAAATGTAAATGTAATTCTCAAGACAGACAGATACCTTCTGTCACTGAATGTTCTCCCTCTCACTGTGGCCCGCAGAAGCTGCCGTGACTGCTGCTGGAAAGATTTTATTCAATACCAAAGCATCTTTGACTTCCAGTTCAATATCTATGTCACATACAACCCATACTAAACTGAAATTTTATAATTTCATTGTTAATACTCCTTAATATTTTGTTTTTATTTAATTCAAAGTATGATGTTTCACCATATTAATAAGCTAAATTTTTTGGTACATGAATAGAAGGATAATAAATGACCATTTGATTGACAGAATTAATTTAGGGAGCAATGTACACCCAGAACTAGTCTAACCTACCATTTTCTCTCTCTCAGTGTAAGTGTCCTAGACTTATTAAAAGTACATATTGGTCTCCTTGCCTAAAATAATCTTCCATCTACCTGTGTTCAAATTCTAGTTGATCAATTTAGGGCCCAGCTAAAGGCAAGTCTTTCACAAAGCATTTCCTGACTACCCACATTCATCTTCTTTACCTCTAGTCTCTATCTAAATCATTTAGCACTTAGTAATAGACTGCCTTATACTACTTGTTATCATTTTATGTTTTAGAACCACCTAAAATGCACTAAATAATTGACAATTATTCCAGTCTGAACAGATAGTCCAAAATAGTGATATGAGTCAAATTCACTAAAATTGTGAACTTTTTCTCCTTAAAGTCTAGTGTAGTCCAATACAAACATAAGTTCAAAACTACTATTGACTTGGATTCTTCAATCAGCTAGTTCTAAAAACTGGCTTATGGAAAGCTAAGATGCATTACTTCCTTTCCCCCACCCCTACACATACACACAACACACACACACACAACACATTCAACCTCACACACCAGAGCACAATTCTGTACATGAATAGCAACTGCACAGAAATAAACTCCTTGGGAACTAAAGCAATAACATTTTTTGAGAACTCACTATGTGCAAAATGCACATCTATAGTTGTAACTTTTAGCCCAAATTCATAGTCTATTACACTGGCAGTCAGGGCCGGCCTCTGAGCATTGGGCTGCTAGGTTAATCTGGAAATTTTCTTCTTGGCTCAGACATGAAACCAAGCTGAGAAAAAAATGGCGGGGGGTGGGGGGGGCGGTTAGTGGTCCTCCCCCTGCAATAAGAAAACACGTATTCCAACAAACCGAAGAAAATTGAGGTCACTCTTTGAAGTTAAAACTACATATTGCTTTGAGTTCAAATTCTTTCTATTAAGACATAAGATTTATTGTAAGTATACTGTTTGAGTAAGACTAAGAAAGCTGAATATTATTTCAGGTTTGCAAGCCATAAGGAAAAATAGTGCTTTTAGGTTTTCCCTTCAACTAGGAAAATTATAGTTTCATATTTGCAACACTAAAGCTAATGCAGTGTCAGCACCTCCATCAAACTCCATTGTTCAGCAGTTTATAATTCAAGCAGAAATGTTCACTCCAAGCCCAAACTTGGCCTACACAATCTCAAAGAAAATGATGAAAAAATTACTTTGGCTAATGCTGAGTTATAAAAGCAAAAGAGAGGGTGCTTTTATAAAGTGCTTTGAAAAACATCTCTGAGAATTTGAGAATGTAACTGGGGATTACTGAGTTGACATCCTTCCCTCCTAAAGTTATAGAAATGACCAAAAATTCCATGACGTCATGTCAGCATTAGGTTGTATGATAACTACTTTCATGAAATTCTTCATGAGGACTAATTTCACTATCAGGCAGAATTACTGTTCACAGAAAAAAGACAATTACAGTAGAAAACAGGACAGATAGGCACAAATTTTCTCATGAGGGCAGCACAAAACTTTACACTCCTTTTTACTTTAAATACTAACTCATGTACTGCACACACATATAAAATGAAACAATATTTTTTCCAGTTTCTAAGGTAGTTCAGAATGCCAGACTGGAATTCCCAGAATCAACCTTCTTCCTCCCAAACAGTTATCTTGGACTTAGAAATAGTTTAGTGTAGAAGTGCACTTTCAGCTTCTGGTGACAAGAGCTATTGGCTCCCCAACTCACTGGAGGTGGGCGGATGTAGGTGGGGTGGGGAGCTAGCTAGTTTTAGTCATTTGAAGTCATGCAGCAGGTGGGTTGGAGATTGCCTGGTGCCTTTGTGGCATTATATGGATAGTCTGGCAGCCAAACCCTGATTGCTGTGGTCTTCTACACCTTCAAAATATATAAGAATCCTCGTAAGTTGTATCAGGGCATTAAATAAGAAAGTCATCCTTTCCTATCTGTAGAAGGCTCACTTATACATTGCTGCTGTAGGCACTCTAAATGTGTTTTCACTCAGCATTTACTGAACCCCTTCTATGGGCCAGGCTACAAATGATTCGACAAAATTCGTGTCCTCCAGATGTCAGGGGGAAGGGAATAGTTCATAAAGACAACTTTCGGTACAATTGTGAAGTGCCATCAGTACAATTTCAAGACTTCATTGAAAAGGGTCTTGAGGCGTCAGAGTGTCACCTCCTCTCCTCCCCACAGTGCACTGCACACCACTCTGAAATCGCACTAATTCCCCGTCCGTCCTTCCTTCTTCCCTTTAACGCACACTCGTTTATCAAGCATTCCCTGCGGGTGGGACGCTCCGTCGTTTTTGAGCTGAAGGATCAGGTCTGGGTGAGCTGTACCAAGTACCAAAGAGTTTTCTGAGGGAGGGCACAGGTAGCAGCGCAGCCTGGGAGGCTCTGGCCTGGCGTCTGGCACTGCTAGGGCAGAAAGGGCTTAAAGGACCCGGGCTCACCTGATTGAAGTGTGCAGAAATGAGTGAGGGCTCCCATATCTTAGAACTGTTGCTCAGAGCCCCTCCTTTATCTTTCTTGGGTGCCATGCAAAGGACGGGAGGAGCATTGGCCTCTATACTGGCCTCAGGCCCTGCCTAAGCGTCCTGGCTGTCATAGTAACGGAAACCACTCCCAGTTCGAGGACAAATTCGTTCCCCTCCCCCAAACCTCGTCTGAATTCGTGGTTCAACGGCCTCCGTTGCCATAGCAACAGGGTTTCTGCGCGCGCACGGCAGCTTGGGCGGGACTTCCGGTCTCCCTGTCTGAATCTTAACTTTCCCGCAGCAGAGCTGCGCAAGCTGACTACGGGACCCGACTGGCCTCGGGTTGGTCAGGCTACTTTCTTTCACACCCTTCGATCCTCTGGTTTTTCTTGTCGTCGTCTCTGATCCGAGGTATTGTCTAGAAACACAAAATCTCTGAAATCCCTCCAACGACTTCAAGTTTTTTTTCTGGTCCGAGTAACCTCAGGAGGCAGCCCATGACTTCTTCCCATCGCTCAAATCTGCTTCTAATACTTGCTTATATGAAGCAAAATCTTGTCTCCTTCCGACCTCCACCGTCTGATCTTAGTTCTGCTACCGAGGGCCTTACTAAAAAGTCCGATCACTCTTACACTTGATCCTTTAATTGTAGATGAGGGTATTGTCTTTCTACATGGTCTAATCCGCATAAACAACTCCAGTTCTTTAAACTCTCTCCCATTGACAGGTAGAGTCTCTCTCCCTAACTTTTTCCCACCTTGCTCTCATTAATATCTGAAATTTCATGGTCAGTGAGATTCCTCAAAATAATGATAGTAATAATAATGATGATAATAACAGCTGTCATTTCTCTAGCACTGGCTAATGCTTGTCGTTGTTATTTCATTTAATTCTCACAACCACCTTACCCCAAATTCTACAGCATACAACCCATGGCTACAGTATTAGGATCCAGGATTATCTGAGTCCCTAATCTAGTATGCTTAATCTTTACACTCCTAAACTATCACTGTTTTTGGCCTGCCAAAACGAGGGATGCCCCCCTTTGCGGCTGAACTTACTTTTTTGTATGTATGCATGTGTGTGTGTTTATTTTTGCAGTGAGACAAACGTGAGGATACCCAGCGGCAGAGCCCAAGGAAAAGTGTTTTGCTATCTCTTCAGTTCATATATAGTACAGTGCTACCTGATGCTTAACTATTCCCCCAGACCCTGCACTTTGCCTGAAGGTGCAATGGGCTTATCCCAGTGGGCTCAGGTGACTGAGGTGATGCATACAACCTAAAGCTTCACTTTGGACAGCACAACTGCCAAGTGACCTTCCACAGAAGGCAGATGGTCTGACCCTTTTTATTGCTTGCTTTGAAGAAGAAATTGTGGGTGTTGAGTGATAATCCAGTGACTACTCTCTTACTTCATTGGGGGAGCAGGTTTAATGATACTTTTTCTCAACTCTTGTTCCTCATTTGGGACAATGGAAAGATTTGGACCAACCCTCCATACTTTAATACAAATTTTAAAGCATACTTTCTAGAGAAAATCTTTTCACAGGAAATTTGAAGAAATTCTAAGGTTTTCTTTCTTGTTGCAAACTGTATGACACATCTTCTGGGAGGGAATAGACCTATGCAGCTGAGCCACGAGTCACATCTGGAAACCCTCTCTTCCTGTCATGAGAATAAAAAGACTGATGCATGGTGATGCCAGAGGGATCATGCCAGAAAGGAATTTTTCTGAGGGTCTCCATAGCAACCACCTAGCCTGCAACTGATTCATTTCATAGGATTTTCTCCAAAATTTTGTTCTCCCCTAAAATGGGCTTAGCATTAGAAGATGAAAATCGTCTTTTGATTATGGCTTGAAAATAAAGATGAGTCTCTAAACAATTATGGATTACATCATTCTGAATTTTGATGATAAATATTCCCATAGATTTAAGCTATTTAGGAAAAAAAAAGTCCTGCCTTTTTATTAAAAAAAGTAGTAAAAAGTTTGTTGACATTCCAGTTATGTCTATAAAAAAGTTAATTAGAGATTTATGCAGGCATAATACATTACTAATTTTCTTTCTTCTTGAATGTGAACACATATTTCAAAATAAAACATACTGTGTACAATCAATTCAGCCAAATCACTAGCAGATGATTAATAAAATAAGTTACAGATAAGGAAGAGACTCAAAGGGGAAAAAAATGAAATAAGTAGAAAAAACTAAAATTGCTCTTCTAAAATTGCAGAGAAAGTGTCACTAACTATGTCTCACAAATAATTGCCCAACCCTAGTTTTGGCTGCCATAAAATGTTTGTGATATTTTTTTGTGGCAAAAACTGTCTAGCTGTTCATCAAAAATTTCCTTTTCTTTCTTCCTGCTATGAGAGTCAGAAACATTTCTCAGCCTCCCTTATCATTACGTGTGAACGTAAGACTGCATTCTAGCCAATGGAACATGAGTGAAAGTATGCATCGCCACATCCAAGCTTGGCCCTTGAAAACTTCTCCCAAGCATTGTTCATGCTCTTCCCCTACCTGCCTAGATGTTGATACCTAGGGTGAAAGTCTTGAACTCCTGTATGAGTGCTGTGGCACAGAGGTCTCCCCTTCCCATGATTATCATCCCCCGTCTCCACTCCCTAACCTGCCCATCCCTACCCCTCACCCCTGCTCCTCATCAAAGAATATTTGCTTGGGACCGTTAGTGGATGAGAAATAAACTTTTATTTTCTTAAGCCGCTGAAATATTGAGATTTGTTGTAGCAACTGGGGTTACACTGAGAACTCTAACATTTATGATAATTTTCATTTGGGTATCAAATTTTAATAAATCTAACAGTAGCCAGCCTTCTTGCACTGCCTAATAACACAACCTTGTTACTTTCAGGTACCCAGGACACAATACTGGCCACTATGAGAGGCACAAAGATCTAATCCCTGCCCCTGGGGAGACTGCATCTAGTATTGCCCACCCTATCTCAAACTTTACCTTGCCTTTCCATCAGCTTGTACAATACATTCTTTCACTTCTTACTTTATCAAGTAAATATATTTCTTACATTAAACAAGTGGTTTGCAAAATGTGTTACACACCACATACAACGGAATATCACTCTGCCATAAAGAGAAATGAAGTCCTGATAATGCTACAGCATGGATGAATCTTGAAAACATTATGCTGAGTGAAATAAGTCAGTTGTGAAAGGACAAATATTGTATGATCCCGCTTATATAAAATATCTACAATAGGCAGATGTATAGAGACAAAAGTCTGTTCGGGGTTACCAGGAGTCGGGCAAGGGGGGGAGGGAGAGGAAGTCAGTGCTTGGGGAGCGTTGAGCTTCTATTAAAGGTGATGGAAACATTAGAAACTGGGTAAGGGCGGTGGTTGTACAACATGATGAAAGTAATTAATGTCACTGAGTTGAACATGTGAAAAATGTTGAAATGGCAATTTTTTTTGTCATATATGTACTTACCACAATAAAAAAACAACAACAAAAAGAGGGGGTTTACATGTTCAAGAAAGACAACTAACTAGTCTGCTTATGTAACATACACTTATGAATATTTATGCCCATTTTTTAGAAGACAAACCAACAAGATCCAATGCCTAGATGTCTATCTATATGTCTATACATAAATTCTAATATAACAAATGATTTAAAGATTGATCATTTTAAAAGCTAAAAATAAAGATTTCAGGATGGAACAAAGCACTTCCAGTATTTTAGTTTTTTCTTTGTGAACTCCTTCCTGAATAAATTTAAATACAGAAGATATTTCAAAATTGATTTAAAGAATTTAGCATAAAGGTTTTTCTTACAGAATACCTTTTGCCTAGTTTCGGCCTTTTTCATTATTCTGGGGAAAGTGGTACTCTAAATAATTTATGATGCAAAATGGGAAGATATTATACAGCAACCAAATTTATAGGGGGTTTCATCATGGAATTGGTCTGTTTAATTTCAGAAAATAGGTGTGAATGACAATGTTCATAGTTTTCAAAAGAGAAAGCCATTCAGCTAAAAAGGGACCTTGCCAAGAACAGAAAAAAAAGCATTACCATCTGTCATACATTTATGATTTTGGTATAATAAATTGTTTCCCCCACTAAATATAAGTTGAAACTTTGTAAGCATATACTTCACTACATAAATTTTCCCATATGTCAGTGGCTAAAACAAAACTGTACTATTTGAAGAATTTTCTTTCCCATTGGCAGGGTTCATTTGATTTAGTTTTCCCAGTAAGATTTTACATTTGATATTGTTTAGCTCACCAAGGATTGTCTACATCTCTATGTGTTGTTTCTTTAGGATACTATGATTACAGAATAAGTTATTTTTTCAAATTTTATACTTTGATCTTATGGTCTTCAGTTTAATTCTTGTTCCGATGTAAAGTCTACCACATTATTTCTCATACTCGAACGGGTCTAGCCAGCTATTGATAAATCTAGTATTTCCATTATTATTAAATAACATCAGTGGCTATGGGTCAATTCATTTTCAGGTCAAGATTCCAAGTATTCAAATCTATTTAGTTGCAGCAACCTGCTTGCTTTGGGTTAAGAAGTCCTCGCAGATGTCCACTGATTTCTCCAGTTAGCATTCTGCATCTAAGAACACCTTTCACTATATTTGTGTTATTCTCCACCATGATCTTTGTGTTTATAACCTTCACAATAGAATGTTATAATGCACTGTCCTTGAGTTTTTATTGTGTGCGATGCAGAGGGCTAGATCTCTTTCAGCTACAGGATCCAAAACACATGGAGAATATTACACCTGCATTCTATGGTCAACTTTAGCTTCCTATTCAGTCTTGAGTGCAATTTAAAGTGTTGACTTTAATCTTTAAAGCCCCTCATTGTTTAGAAGCCAGTTACTCCAGCTATCACATCTCTCCCAATGCATCACTGTGGCAATTAAAGTCAGCTGCAGTGCTTGCTGTTTGTAATCCCAAGTGAGCTGTGGGGAGCCTGGGAGTAGATCTCTTTCTAAAGAAGAACTTCCCTAAGAACCTTCCATTTCTGTCAATGATAAAAGCAATATTCGACGTTTACAGTTGTGACCTTGAGGGTCTTGTCATCTATCCATAGGTTTCTGGAATCATAATTAAGTACCGTTGACTTAATTTT